TATATATATATATATATATATATATATATATATATATATATATATATATTATCTGTAGTAATTCTATTTCTACTCCCTCCCATTCGAACATTCTTACGCGGCACATTTCCTCCTGCGCCTAAGCGAAACCGCGACGTGCGGTGTTCCTCCCTAGTGCCCATCGGTCAATTACAAGTGATTTGAATATTTGAACTTGCCGCCGCACGATGCAGAACGAGGTTCTCCATACTCGGCAGCATCTAAAGGTCCAGGAGGTGTCGATCCACGTAAGCCACGAGAGCGCCATCCAGGGATACAGAGAGCAACCGCACAGTGGACGACCACTGGTAAGTCATTATCTACGTTATTTCTATACGCGCGAAACTACGATTAACGTCTGCGACTGTTCGACCCACCGTAAGGTATACTACGGTGGTTATACTACGCGCTTACGTGAAATCCATCGCGATTACCCTTGATCGCTCGGGTTCCCGGGTAGAATCACGCGATTCATTTAGCCCGAAAAATTGCGATCTGATCCCGTGCTAGGGTTCGAGCGCTATTCTTCACGGCAGCGTGGCCGCAACCCGCCGGAACGTAACAATAGACATTTCTAATTATGACTGTAAAAATAAATTATTATTGTTTCTTTACTTATTGTTCAATAATCTAATTTAATTACCTTGGTCACAGAACCTCTATGTTCCTTCGTAACATAACGTATCGTAAAATTTTCGTGCGTTGCCGTACGTTCAGCTTACGTCTCATATAACGTAAGGTTGTCACGTAAGATGGCGTAAGGAGCTACGACAATGTTCGTGCGCTGGCCTTGACTAATGGCTCCTGCACACAGGACGCGGTAATGCTTGCCGCGCGGCGGAAGACTGCGCGATAGCCAATCAATATGTTGTTTTTCCGTAAGAGCTAGAAGGTTATTACGGAAAGCATCATATTGATTGGCTGTCGCGCGAACTTCCGCCACGCGACAAGCATTACCGCGTCCTGTGTGCAGGAGCCATAAGTTTACACGGCAGCTTAAAACCGGTTTAGTAACAACCGTATTTAGTAAACTCTCGCATCCGATTGGTATATTCTTTTAGATTTAGAAATATACTCTAATCGGATTCAAGAGTTTACTAACTACGGTAGTTACTAAACTGGTTTTAAGTTGCCGTGTAAACTAAGGGGTGCGTTCAGATTCCCTACCCGGGTGCACTCTATTACTAGAAACACTATAGTATATGTTACATATACTATAGCACTTCTAGTATTAGAGTGCACCCTGGTAGGGAATCTGAACGTACCCTAGGCCGTGTTCCGTTTCACGCATATGCGCACATTTATCTATAGTTCGTGTTACGTATATTGTAGACAATGCGCGCATTATGCGTGAAACGGAACGCAACGTTATGGCTCCTGCTCACAGGACGCGGTAATGCTTGCCGCGCGGCGAAAATCCGCGCGACAGTCAATGGCTGCATTCAGCAGACTCAATAGTTGCACAACAGTTGAGTAATTTGTCAATGTAATTGGTCTAGATTTAGGGATCTAATAGCAAGAACCAATAATCGTTGATTGCTCACTGAGCGCTTTTTCTACTGAATGCGCCCAATCAATACGTTGGCTGCATTCAGCAGACTCAACAGTTGCACAACAGTTGAGTAATTTGTCAATGTAATTGGTCTAGATTTAGGGATCTAATAGCAAGAACCAATAATCGTTGATTGCTCACTGAGCGCTTTTTCTACTGAATGCGCCCGTTGTTTTCCCGTAAGAACTAGAAGGTTATTACGGAAAGCAGTATATTGATTGGCTGTCGCACGAATTTCCGCCGCGCGGTAAGCATTACCGCGTCTTGTGTGCAGGAGCCATTAGGCTATGTGACATGTTAGCTATCTAGCTTAGTATAGACATTTGTGCCCGGTGGTCATTCTCAAGTTTTTTTGATGGAACTATACTTCTAGTATGTAAATAAAATTGCTCATGTGGTAACAGTTTATAACACATAATGCTAAATAAAAATTATGTGGTAAAACAATATTAATCTAGTATTAATATCATACTTATTTCAATATATAAATTCTACGTTAAAACACTAGAAAATATATAATTATTGTAAAAGAATGAAAGTAACAACGTTAAAAGGAATCTTTCCGGATCCCAGTAAGTAATATTATTTACGGATATTATCATGTACATATATTATCCTATTTTATAATTATAAAAAAACATTATTAAGTAAAACAGAAAGTTCTTGCAATTAATGACACATAGAATATGTTACACATTACTTTTAGAACCACTCAGGAGGAAGAATTTCATTCATGAAAATGTGAAAAGCCTTCGGCGAATGGAACAATGTTTTCAAGCTAACAAAGAAGTGGAAGAGTTGCAGAAGCTACAGTTGCATAAATATCATAAAACTATGGACAAATACCAGAATATATCTGCAAGAGTAGTCACTAATTTTCAAAAAAAGAAGAAACACCAAGGGGATAACACTAGTATAGTATTGAAGAATAATATCAATGTGACATTAACTGACAGAATTGAGGATAAAAAACAACAGTCTCAGGATGAAAGTAATATACTTAAATCAAATGCAAAACATATTGCTATTCCTAAGAAGATTTTCAGAGCAGAAATCAATAGTAACTTATCTAGTAAACAACAAAAACAAGGAGGAACAAGTAAATACAATGAAAAGTACAGTCAGCAGAAGATGCAGTCAAAAGTTTCATCTGAACCAAATATTGTGCATAAGTTTGACAATACAATAAATAAGACAGATATACAGAATGCTATTAAATATAAAAATCAGGGAATGCAAACTTTAAATATAGATCAAATGGAAAACATATATTCTGAAGGTATCATTCGGTAAGCATATTTAAAAAATGATACAATGAATAGATGAAAAGAGATTATATCCATATTTTTTTTTTATTTATCCATCTTTATTGTAATATTTTGATAACTTTGTTTGTCTTACTCGCCAGGTAGAACATAAAATCATTTTTATGTCAAGATGATGCCATTTTGACATCATTGTCATGAAATTGTCATGAAAATGGTATTGTTTGATATCAAAATGACAATAATTTTATATCATTTGACGTCATTTTGACTTTTATATGTCTTTGTGTTCTACTTGGGAGTCTCTCCTAATAACACTGATTTATTTTTTATTCATTTTATAAATTCTATTCATGTTATATATATATATATATATATATATATATATATATATATATATATATATATATATATATATATATATATATACACACACACACAACATACAGTATGTTACAGTACATACTGTATATAGCATCAATAGTTAACAACAATTTAGAGTTATACTTTCAAGCTGATTTTTATCAGTAGGTATCCCTCGGAGAAAATTACAAAGCACAATGATGCAGTTAGCGATACTAACTTGAATGAACAAGAGGAAAAAACTATAAAATTACAAATCAATTCTCCCAAAAGTAGAGACAATATGCATTCTCCCGAAGATTTAAGAAAGCTTGATTTACGAAGTACTGTGTCGCAAACCCATAGAGAAGTCGACCAGTTAAATAAAGAATATACTTCCGTGGTTGATAAGCCAGCGATACAACTTAACCATTGTGCACCACCTGCACATTACCGAAAAGGAGTTGTTCCTAAGTATGATATCGCTATACTGGTCAGAATTTTCGGATAATCGAACAATCTGAACAATGTGAATATCATTTGAATCTCAATTCTTCAAATTTTTGATTGATTGATTTCAATTGAATCTTAAATTCTTCAAATTTTTTAGAATCTGAGGCATGATATACAATATTGTAGACCATGCCTGAGATATATTCGAGTTTGTATTCAAACTGCAAACTTATGTAATATGTTTTAGAGAGAATGAACATTCATTTTTTTTACTTTCAAAGTTTCTTAAATGTCTGGACCTTGAAACAAAAATTCCATCTCGAACTGCATGATCATATAATTGAAAACCTTTGAAATATTTGTATAATGTTCCAAATAGATATCTTCGAGAGAGAAAGGAAGTTCAGCAAAAAGAATTAAAAGCTAAGAAAGAAGCATCATATTCTGACTGTCCAGAGAATCATGTGCCTTTACCAGATCATGAGCGCAAGGAGACATTGCAGTTACTAAAGAAAAGTATGTATCTCGTTAATAAAATTTAATAATCTGCATTATTTTTTTCTATAGAGATTCATAATATTTATCGAATTAATTTCACGTTGTGTTGTATCTCTTAATATAGATTATCAAGAATACATTAATGAATTGAATATGATGCCTATAAAAACGGATACACTCAGGGCACAGAGGCGCAAGATGGAAATAGAAAAGCAGCTAAATAAATTAGAAGAAGGAATTAAAGTGTTTTCACGACCTAAAGTTTTCGTGAAAATGAATGCATAGATTATAATGTTGCTTCCATGATTATAATGCAGCACATATACAAGAATTATTGTGTTATCTGTCCGTATTATGAAATATCATGTACCATTTCAAAGGTCCAATGAATATAATTATATTATTTTATTATAAGTGGTGCTAAATAACAAAAGTTAATTGTACAAATTTTTTATATTAAAAATTAATCTTGGAAGTAAATGTCCTGTTTGAATAAGATTCTATAAAAGATTATAACAGAATACTTTTATATTCTTTATTTATTTAATTTTGTTGATATTTTTGTATATAAAAGCATACAGTTGCATAAATGATAAATTTCCGAGTGAATAAAAAAAATAAAATTTTATTTAAATTTAGGAAACCACACAAATGTGAAAGAAGGAGAAAATGAAAACGATTATTTTATAACTCGCCCATTTTGCACTTTCATGAAGCTTTTATCAATGACATGTACAAATGATGCTGGATCAAAATGCAATCTTCCTAGATTATAAAATAATTCTTCATTTTCATACCAACTTTTTGTGTTAAAGTCTTCAAAAAATATACTTATCTCTCTTTTCGCGGATTCTGCCGAATCTAGAATAATATTGTAATATTATAATATCAAACATATCAAACTGCTTTAAATAAATGAAAATTTTGACTCATTTTAGATATTAATAATAAAAAATATCCTGTAGGATCTAACTTTGGTCGCTTATATCAACATAATTCAAATATATCAGTACATAGATATTCGATACTTGTAAAATATTAAGCAATTTCAAAAACTCGATTTGGAATAAAGTTTAAAGTGATTTGGACAATAAAATTGTTTGAAAATTTTCTAAACAGACTCTGTTATTTATTACTGTAGATGTGAAGGATATTACCGGATCCATGAGTGGCGTTTCTAGTATCTGATAATCCAAACATCCCTCTAATGGTATCAGGCGCAATGTACTGTGCTTGATAAACTTTAGTAGGACCCATTACACGACGCCACTTGATAATGGCGTCGTGTGCTGCTAAAATATATATGTCAGATGGTCCGCTGCATATAAACGAAAGGAGACGATTATAAAAGAATTTATCCTTGTGCTCCTTATAAAACAATTCAGCCTCTTTATAAGAAATAATCGTCCTGCGCGATCTGACAATTTTGAAATCATTGTCAATTATTAAACCGCGGATTTTCTGAAAAATCAAAGCAACTTCAATTATGACTGTATCTAACGAATGTTTTGACGTTTTTTGACATTAACATAAATCAAATTATCCGTTAACCTCAATCGCAAACTCGGTTTCTATTTTGTTTCTGCTAAGTAAAATTCACTTCGTACCTCAAGAGCGAAAGGGGATTTGACAACATGCGGTTTGAGTATAGCCAATGTTAACTGGAGATATTTTCTCGATTGCATGTTAACATCTTTTTAACTTTTGGCTGTTATGTGTTTAAAGAATGGCGGGATAATATTGCGTGTATTCCATTAAACTATAAACAAAGGCCATTAGGGCTATCGCACACAAATTGACATAACTGCATATGCATAGCATAAGATCGTATG